ACTTAGCAAAGCGGTTCAACATGGTTGGTTTACAGGCAATGATCGAACAGCTGAATTGTAAGAAATCGCCCTAGCATGAAGCTTACGGGTTCCATGGACTGATAAAACAATTCCTGCCCGTTTGAAGTCAAATCTGTTTTTCTGACCCGCTGTTCACGCTGCCGTGCATTCTGCGATTCCAGGCAGTACGAACTGCTGGTACCGATTCTGCATGACAGTATGAATCTCCGAAGCTGTGTTTGTACTACAATATATGCTTAACGTTTCTTACTTTGTTTTTTATTTTATTTTTGTTCTTGATATTATTGATTTGTTATATTCCTGTCTTTGTTTCTTTTTCCTGCAAACTTTTAATGCCTGCACTATGGATTGAAACCATTTGGATTGCCAGACTGTTATCCTCACGTATTGAGCTTTTTTCTGCTACCGTCATGTTTTACATTTATCTTAAATAAATTAGAAGGCTCATACCGGTACCGTACCGGAAGTAATACGTCTTCTGATTCCCTGATCAGCAGCACAAGAAACGTTTCATTTACAGAAATTCAAATGTTTTGACCGAACTGGAATCAGTCATTGCTAAGGGATAAACAAGCTTGAACAAGAAATCGTTGGGTCATTTGTTGCTTCACGTGACTAGTTGGATGCTTCACTTGATGTTAATTAAACAATTAATCATGCTCTATGCCATGCAATGTAGCCGACGCAATCGTTACAATTTCTATTTTTGCTGGCTGCGATGTGAAGCGACTCCTTGGTTTACAGATTGATCTTGTCCCGGTGTCTATCGGCCACCGTTACATTGCTGTTGGTAAAGTCATGACCGTTCTCTAAAGCATGCACAACGAATCTAGAATGATCAGCATTGCGATACTCATGGCTCTCCTGCATTCCGTTAATCCAGTTTTTAATTCTCAACAGGTCTTGCTGATATTAATCTGATCACAGCTAATGCATCCATTTAATGGACGTATTTTATTTGCTCTTTAAGTTAGGGTGAAGATTAAGCTTCATATACATCTTATACAACAGGTTTTTGTAGGTTTTAACCTGCAGAAAAATACAAGTCTGTGTCTTTTTAAATATCGTCTAATTTTGTCAGATATATCTGGTATGTAAGGTATAAAGATTAAGGTCTTAAATCTGGCGTCTGTTCTTTCATAAATTGATTGGGAAACAGCCGTCGTTTTCTTGCCGGTTAACCCAAGATTTTTAGAACGATAACACTGCGAAGATGCTCAAAACTGTCGTAGGACT